GATAATAGTGTTAAAAAACTTTTAAAGAACTATGTATGTTCAAGGAAATTAAAATAAGTTGAGAATTTTGGCATAGTAGAAAGTTAAAAACTAAATTTGTGGAAAATATTTTTTAAAAAGAGCCCTATAGAAATTCTATAATTATAATAATACCAGTTAAAAACAATCAGTGACAAGTGTTAGCCACAGCCATGTTTATCACCTGATGCAGAGTTGGCAAACAAAAGCAAAATTTTGCCACGTGCTTCTGTTTGTGAACCAAATTGTTTACAAACAAGCATTTTTTACTGAGATACTGTTAAAACATTAAAAACACATATATGTTACATGTTTCCACTTTGTGTAAAACTTCATACGTATATGTCTAGGAATTGCACTCAGAGACTTGACTTGTGCATGCAAAACAAACACTTTAACACTGAGTTACAGCCCCAGTCCATCAGTGATTATTTCCAATGGGTAATTTTATTTTCTTCAGTAACTCCTATGTTGTTTGTGGCATAGGCGATCTACTACTTTTCTAATGAGAACAAAGTTATTTTTAGAAATACAGTGTTTCTATAATTTAGGAATAGTTTATACTGGTATATATAAAATACAAATAGTATATACAAAATGAAAATGCCTATTTTTCTAAAAACTTTAAAACACTAGTGTTTCTACAAGGTAATACAAATTACTGGAATTTTGGTTTGGTTGGTTTAGTTTAGTTTGGTTTTTTGTTTTTGTCTAGTTAGGAAAGTATTTGAGGGAAGTTGTAAAAATAATTTTGGAAAAAACTAGAAACAAAGAAATATAATTCCATCATATAGAAGCAAGCATTGCTTTACTTTTCCTCCTACCAGTCTTCTCTGTGATATTTTTAGATGAGACCATGCAGTATATGTAATTTAATAGGCTGTCTGCAAGCTTGCCTTCTTGTCTTTCTCCTTTGCTTTCCTACCTCCATCTTCCCTCTCTCCCTCCCTCTTCTCTTTTTTTCCTTTCTTGTTTCTTTCTTCCTCTATCCTTTCATTTTTTCAGCATTCATTAAGCCTCTACTGTGTCAAATGCTTTGCTCAAATACACTGTCTTTCCCTCCAGCAGGGTCCAGGGTTACTCAGACTCTGATAAAGGGTTAAAAATATTTTTAAGGGACTGGGGATTTAGCTCAGCGGCATAAGCGCCTGCCTTGCAAGCAGGCAGTCGTGAGTTCAATCCCTGGTACCGATAAAAATGAAAAAGACAAAAAGAAAAAAAAAAAAAAGAAAAAGAAAAGCATGTATGTAGATACTCAGAACTTATTTTTCATTAGAAAATATACTGTATTAATCAGACTTCCCATTGCTGGACAAAATATCTGAAACCCACAGCTTAAAGGAAGAGAGGTTTATTTGACTCATGGTCTTAGAAGATATCATCCCTGGTCATCTAGCTTCAAGGCAGGAGCATCATGGTATAAGGCATGGCAAGCAAAGCTGCTTAGTTCATTGTGACAGGGAAGCAGAACAGGGAAACAATGCTGTCTTAGTTAATTTTCTCGTTGCTAGCACAAAAATTCAATATTCGTAAGTTAAAGGTGAGAAGGTTTATTTCAGCTCACAGTTTGTAGACATTTCAGTCCATAGTTAGCTGGCCTCAAGGCAGGATGGCATGGCAGAGGGGCATCACAGTAGAACAGATTCAGTGGAAGAGCAGGCAGAAGGCAGCAGAGAAGCAGCAGCAAAGCAAATCTGCCTTTCTCTTTTATCCTGTCCAGGTTACATGATTTTTAGATGGTGTCACCCACACCAAAGTTGAGGCTTTTGTCTTCAATAAATCTGTTCAACCACACAGAACTATGCTAATTCCAATTAATGAACTAATTTAGTACTACATCAGCTGTGAATACACTCACAGCTTCATACTCTGCCCTGTCAGGAGCATGCCTGGCCTCCGTTGTGAACTCTTACCTCACAATGCTTGCATTCCCTTAAAACCAGCACTACATGGATGATACCAAAGTCTGTTACTAGCTGGGCAACTGTGCTTGCTTCTCTCTTGGCCTTAGAGGTAGAGTGCTTGATTGCTGAGCTCTGTGAACCCAATACAAGAAACAAATTCTCTAGGTTCTTGCCCTTCAGGAACATAGTGCTCTAGAGCTATTCTCAAAGCAAAGTCTTTCATCTTTGCATAAAGCCTAGAATCTTGGTGTTTCTTGTGATGTCTGCAGGCCATCTTTTCTATTGTTTTGTTCCTTTCAGCAGTCAAGTTCTTCTTTGCTCCATCTTTGCAGGCCATAACTTTATGGAGTTTTCTTTCTGGTCAGATTCTAAACTTTTTCAATCATTTGATTGGCTCCTTTACTCTTGATTTTTAACATAGATCTGGCTAAACGCCCTGAACTGTAGCCAGCCATGCCACAGCCTCAACTTTAAAGTGCTTTCAAATTTCATATTTCAAATTAATTTGCTGTCCTTAATCAGTCTCAGGCAAACTCTCTGGACAAGGGCAAAATGCTACTAAAGCATAAAGCACATAGTTTGGAGTGCAACAGCCAATGGCAGTCCTTGTTCCTAACTGAAACCTCCTGAGCTTGGTCTTTACCGGCAATATTTCTATTAGATTCTGGTCTTCTGAACTCTGACCAGAAACTCCCATCAAGTTTAGCTTGCAACATTCCAGTGCTGCTGCTTAGCTGGAATCTCAAACCTTCCCAAACTGTTTCCATAAGCGAGTTCCAAAGGCTTCTAAACCACATGTCTGGGCAACGTCACAATGGCCCTGCTCCTCATACTAAAATCTGTTTTACTTTTCTTGTTCCTGGGACCCTCACAACTTTAAGGATCAAAGGTTTACTCCAGCTTACAGTTTTTTAGAATTTTCAGTCCATGTCAGCTGGCTCCAAGGCAGAATGGCATGTCAGAGGGGTATCACAGAGGAGAAACAGTGCATTGAAGAGCTAGCAGAAGGCAGCAAAGTGATAGTAGCCAAGCAAACCTCTCTTCCCTTTTTATCCCTTCTGGGCTACAAGCTTTTTGGGTGATGACACTCACACCCATTGTGGGGCTTCTATTTTTAGTAAATCCATTTAACCAGGACTATGCTAATTCCAAACAGTAGGCTAATTTAGTACCATATTCCCTTAATACATGTATCACATGGCCTAAATCTAGCCAGCCCTGAAAAACCTTACCTGTGAGGGAATGAGGTTTTGGAGAATCTTTAAGTACAAGCCATAACAAATGCCCAAGAGAACGGGGCTGGGGTCCATCTGTAGTAGTCAACATCATGCCTTTATAACCCAGTCAGACAGACAGGTACTAATTCCATAGTTGATGCCTAGCCAGTCAAGTTGACAATTAAATTTAACCATTACATCCCACCTCTTGTCAACTAATTGTTAGTTAATAAGTTCTGCCTAACATGGTATGAGTATCTTGCATGCAACTTAAAAAATTTAGTAATTCCTTACCCAAAGTCTCAGCAATTACAGGAATTTTTAAGCTCCAGGTCAAATTCTCTTCTGAAACTCAGACAAACTTTAGCTGTGACTCTAAAGCAAGTTATGTAATGCCAAGATACAATGACATAGGATAATCATTCTTATTCCAAGGAGGGGGCGGGATAGAGAGGTAGTAAAGAGAGCAAAGTAAGACCAAAACCTAGTAGTACAAACATTAAGTCCTGTAGTTCCATTGTCTGGCATGCAGAGTACATGATATTGAGGTGTGAATTCCAAAGGTCTTAGATGATCTCCCAATGACTTTGATAATTGCACCCTTAGACTAGCTTGCTTGTGCCTGCACCTTTGGATTAGCTTGCTTGTATATGCAGTTCCTGGAGAGATGGTCCATATCTTTGACTTCATTACGATAGCTTAATATCTTGCCCTGGCAGGGGCTCCTTACCTGGCCTCCCAGGCCTTTTGAAATTAGGATGGAGGCCTTTTGACCACACACCTTTTATATTCTACATGCCAGTAAAACTGCTGCCCCTGGATGACACCAAGGTCTCCTGTCTGTGGAAGCCGTAGTCAGGCACACTTGGAGCATGGCTGCAGTGGGCTGTGAGTTCCTAGATGGCTGAGCACAGTGAAATGAATTTGGGAGAACTCAGTTTCCTAAGCAGCCCTACTCAAAGGATCCAGAGATTTTCTTCTCAGATGAAAGGTTTGTGCTTTTGCCTGTGATGAGTAGAGTTACTGATTTCTGAGATTCGCTCAGGGCATCTTTCTTTTTGCCCTGTACAAAAGTACTTGGTTTCTTTTTAAAAGTAATAGTCTTTCAATTACTGTCCTTCCTTTGACCCAAACTTTCATGTGGTTCCTTTTGGGCCAGAATTGAAGTTGTTTAAATTTCTCTGTTCTATTTTTGCCCTTGATTCTCACTATAAATCTGTCTGAGCGGTAGATAAGAAGAAAACACATCAGTATCCGTGTCACACCCTGAATGTTGGGCTGTCTTGAAATTTTCTGCACCTCATTAATTAGTCCATTTCCCCTAATCTCAAGTCTCCTGCAAAGTCTCAGGACATACGTAAGAGGCAATTATTTTTATTTTTATTTTTAACATGTAAGGGATAAAGTTTGTAAGAAATTAAGGAGATGAGGCCTAGGGACATCTGGTTATAAACATTTCTAAAAGCATTAGTTGGTCCCTAACATCTGATAGGAATATGAAGGAAGAAGCTTCTTCACCCATCTGTAAGTCCCTAAGGGACCTTTTCTGGTCTAGAGCAGGGGTTGGCAAATTTTTTTCTATGAAGGATCAAATAATAAATATTTTGGATTTTGTGGGCAGATGGCCTCAACTTTGCTATTTTGTTGGGAAAGTTTTCACAGATAATACGTAGTCACATGGGCCTGGCTGTGTTCAACTAAAGCTTTATAATAACAGTCCGTGGAACCAGATCATTGGGCTTACCCTCTGATTAGTCCTCTGACAGAAGAAACTCCAGAGGCTCAAGTGTAAGCAATTATAGGGTCTGGTACTTCCTATTTAGGAATACCTCTTGCATTGCTTCTGGAAAAAGTAAGGTATGTGCTCACTTCAGCAGCACATATACTAAAATTGGAACAATATAGAGAAGATTAGTATGGCCCCTCCACAGGGATGACACACAAATTTATGAAGTATTACATATTTTTTGTATAATTGTTATACAAAATTGTTACAATGAAAGGGAAAGAAAGTGCTCAAAAGGAAAGAACAACTTGTAGGTATACACTTATAACTGTATGTATGTTTAAGTGTGCAAGATAGATAACCATACTACTAAGTTTTTGGTAGTTCATCAAACAGAATAGTTTGTGCTGACATTTGACTGTTCATTTTTTATGCTTTGATTTTTGTAACTTGAACAACTACTTCTAAATAACAATATGTAATATATCAACTAGTGATGATTTTAGTTATTTTTTGAAACTCTGTATCGTATCTACCCTTTTTTCTGTTTTGATTTTTTTAAAAAATAAATTAAGTTTTACACACCTTAATATCACTCCACACCTAAAATTGCTTATAATAAAAAGGTTCTGGTCACAGTAGCTCTTTGGACAATATAACAGCAAAACAATTACTAGCCTCTTCCTAAACTTCATGCCCTCAAGCAAATCTATAGGCTTTTGATAAACTCATCCTAAAACCATAGGGTACCATAAACTTTAGAGATAGAAAGAGCTAAGAGCGGTAGATAAGAAGAAAACACCCAATTTCAAAGAATACTAGAAAGTTTTACAATAAAAATTGCCTTTAAAAATTACTGAAATGCAAAATAAAACTGGTATAGACATTTGTCTATAGTAGGAATTCTTTCTAAATATCATCTTAAATATGTATTATTTTCCTGTATATAATTTAAGGATATGTTTGAATGTTAAATTGTTTGCAGCTTTAATTAAACAAGCTGTGATTTGTAGCTTCTTCATAATTTTATACTATATTGTGATCTAATAACCTCAAAGTAGCTACATATATATATATATTTTTTTTGGTACCAGTGATCGAACTCCTGATCGTGTGCTGCAAGGCAGGCGCTTATGCCGCTGAGCTAAATCCCTAGCCCCTCACAGTATAATTATTAAAGAGTAAAAATACATTATAGCTTCTGATATCTAGAGCCAAATTAAATTCTAGAAAGACTGTACAAGTTTATAAGATATGATCAAAATATATGGTAAATGGTAATTTAAAAAATATATTTACTACAGTACAAGACACTTTCCATTAATCCCCCTCAAAATTCTTACCACTTAAAAATTTCTGCTTGTTTGTTTGTTTTGAGACAGGGTCTCACTTTGTAGTCCAGGATGTCTTATTTTTGAAGCAGTTCTGATAGTCCTCTTTTGTAAGTGACTTTATGAAATGTTATCAAACATAGGGTCGATGCTGCCACTACATGCCTTCCAGTGGAAAGGCAAGCGTGTAAAAACATTATGGTGTGTCTTCATCTACTTTATTCCCCAGTTCTGGCATCATGAAAATTCTGGCCCTTCACTGAAGTTAAAAAAGCAAAAGATAAATGTTCTTAATCAGTTCAGAACATTGAGTCAACTACAACATAAAGACACTCTTGGAAGGGGACTTTGGGAACTGCTTGAGAAAGTGGCAAGAACTATGGAATATATGCTTGAACTAAGGAGTACTTTGTGGGAGATTGGTGGCAATGAATCTTTTATTGTAATAAATTCTTTTAAAAATACTTAGCATTCACTGTATTTTTTATCACACTGTATACACTACTATCAGCCATATGTGAAAGTTCCTATTTCAATATACCTTTTTTAGCACCGATTATTTTTTTTCCTAAAATATATCTTGTGTTTTGCTTATAATACTTTCCTGTATGTGAAAGTTGATAGGAGCCAGTTGGCAGGCCATATTTCATCTTGAACTCTTGCCTTAACCAGACTGTTCTGTTATTCTGGGACTGCTCTGCTGAATATTGTAATATGCCATGCAACTAGTGATGGATTTTGGTAAGGTACTATAATACTTGCCATTGAAAATACAGCCATTATTATCTGAATAGCTAGTTTATGTAGACCATATGTTGCTAATATCTTTCCAAAGATAAAGCAGAATTTTCTTAGTTTGTTTGCCTTTTTTGAGAGCCATAATAAAGATTCCTAAGGCTTGATAGAATCCTTTCTTAATCCTTTCTGTTTTGCGCTATGATACCTGAGACTAGGTAACAAATAAAGAGTAGAAATTTACTTTGTCATAGTTCTGGAGGCTAGGAACTCCCAAGATCATGGCACTAGCTTTTGGTTTGGTGAGGGCTGTCTTGCTATGTCTTCACATGGCAGAAAAGCTGATGAGCAAGAAACCATGCTGGGTAAAACCTCTGTTTTAAAGCCCTTGTTGCTGTTAATGAAGAAAAAACCTTCATGGCCTTATCATCTTATTATCCCCACCTCTTAATACCATCACATTGGCAATACCTGAATTTTCAAGGAAACACATTTAAACCATAGCATTAAATGATGGGATTCAAATTAGAGGTACTTTTTCATTAGTGATCTGTTTAAAAAGTAGATGTGTTTTGGCTTTTGTGTTTTCAAGTTCTAGACAATAGATTAAGATGACAAAGGTAGATAAGGATTGGTGATAGGCACCTGTCCCAGCTACTCGTAAGATTGAGGCAGACAGATTGCTCGAGCCAAGGTGTTTAAGGCTTGGTTGGGTAACATAGGGAGATTCTATGTCAAAAAGAAAAAATATGACAAAGAAATTTTAGTATTCAGTTGAAGAATCAGATATATGTGTGTGTATTATGCTTTACTATATTCTTAATCTACTTTTGTTGTCTTTGTAGTTTCTTTGAAAAGAAACTTTTAGTTAAATTGCTAGCCTATTTTCTTATTGCCACCCCCCCCCATGAAATATAGTCAGATTATGAAACTGGAAATTTTAACTTCCAAAAATTCTTTTGGCAGATTTGTGTAAGAGGGAAAGTAACAATCAGCACGCCTTTGCTGGCTGAAGCCTATCCTTTATTTATAATTGAAACAAACTCTTTATTTCAAAATACTAAGAATACTTTTCTGAATTATTACACATAAGTAAATTGAGACAACTTTTTTTTTTTTTTTTTTTGGTCTTTTTCATTTTTACTGGGACCAGGGATTGAACTTACGACTGCCTGCTTGCAAGGCAGGCGCTTATGCTGCTGAGCTAAATCCCCATCCCCTGTAAATTGAGACAATTTATAATTTGACATTCTTATGAAGTGCATAAAAGGAGGAAATGCGTGGAGTATTGTGCCTTCTTGAGAAATTTTCCTACATTCAGTATCTCCTGTTGTGGTATTTCACTCATGATGTCTCATTTTTCTAAATTATTCTTTCTAAATAGAAGATAGGATAGAGTGGTGGTGCTACTTGTATTAATCTACAGAAAAACTGAAGAATGATTTTATTGGTATTTATTTACTAATGCATCTAGCACCTTTACTTGGTTGAAATGTTTCTGCTGTTTATATAATGCTTCAATCCTTACTTTGTGCTGATACCACAAAAGAAAATAAAACAACCCAAAACCTTATTTTCTGTTACTGATTACTTTGTAGCCATAAAACAAGAGATTGTTTTTAGTACAATAGAATTAAGACAGTAATTTATGTAGAAATTCTGAAAGCCAAAACAGGAAAGCACAAATTACATTGAAAAGAATTTTGAAATCCATTCTTAGCAGAATCTAAGAAAATTAATTCTTAGGTCCTATATCTTAAATAAATAAAGTTTCAGGTCAAGTTCTTTGTCCATATGTTTAAGTAAAAATGTTTACTTATAACAGCTCAGAACCCTAAAATAGGGAGTCCTTAACCTTCAACCAAGTGTTAGTAACATTTACCTTTTTTTCAAACCTTTTTCATCATATAATTCTCATCAGTTAAAAAAATAACAGCAACCTAAAGAAATGAGACTGCATGTGTGTATGCATATTCATTTGCACATATACATTGTTATGTACCCTGTGTGATATACATAATAATAGAAATTTTTAATTGTAAGAGAGCAGTAATAATCTGATAAAATTAAATTGTATTAACAATACAATAACTGGGGATATACCTCAGCAGCATAAGTGCCTGCCTGCCAGGCACAAGGTCCTGAGTTTGATCCCCAGTACAAAAAAAAAAAACTTTTTCACTTTATAGTAGAAATAGGCATTTTGTTGTTGTTGTTGTTGTTGTTTTGTCTTTTTCCTTTTTACTGGTACCAGGGATCAAACTCACTACTGCCTGCTTGCAAGGCAGGCACTTATGCTGCTGAGCTAAATCCCCAGCCCCTAATAGGCATGTTTTTTAAAGTCTTATAACACTTGGTCACACTGTAATTGAGACAGATTTAAAGTTCATTTTAGTCACATCCAGCAATTAATTATGTGGATGATATTGTTGAAATTTACCGGATGCCGTTTTTTGTTTGTTTGGTTGGTGTTTTTGTTTTTGTCTTTTTGAGACAGGTTCTCTCTATGCAGTTCAGGCTGCCCTTGAGCTCACGTTGTAGCCCAGGCTGGTCTTGAACTCACAATGATCCTCCTGCCTCAGCCTCCCAAATGCTGGGATTACAGGTGGTTTCGTTTTTACATTTAGTGATTGCTAGTTAGTATAGGCTGGTATGCTACACAATTTTTAAAGTTCAAAATATTGTATTTTTGTGGGCTTAATACTTAAGTTAGAGACAACTAGTAGGTTGTTTACCTTTCTTGGTTCCTCAACTTTTTACTTTTCCACTTTTCTACCTTACCTTTCATTCCCTGCTCTATTTTCTTACACAATTCCAGAGACCACTTCCCCTCCAAACATACACAGGAACACAACACACAACAGAAGAAGTACTGATTTTGAGAAAACCCTCAAAAAGTGGCAGATCTTTCTGCTGAAGAAAGAGAAGGATTTGCGGGGTTGGAGCTGAACATGGCGGACAGATAGCAGCAGCTATGCTGGCTCTCTCCAAGACCCAGCTTAGAATCCAGGAGTGGTGCGGAGGGAGGAATCCTAACCAAGAAGAGATATACCCTGCTGACCCAAGAACGAACTGGGCTGAGAGATACCAACTGGGAATGCAATCCTGGTGCTATAACAGCAATGGATAAAGCCTGAGTGTGGAAGCTGGAGCCCGTGCCATTGGAAGCTGTGATT